GAAAAGAAAAAAGAGAAAAAAAGGTAGCCTCTTCTGTGGCTGAAATTGAACTCAGTGTTACTGTGAAAAGAGCCTCTTTTGTTACAGCACAGGGACAGTTCGTTTATTTATTCATGTTTAACAGTCGTGAGTTACAGTACTACTTAACCCCTCCACAGACACTTTACGACAACCGTCTCCTTTTTAAAAGTCTCTTTTTCCAAACACTCCGTCCGAAGGATGAATGGTCTATTTGCACCCAGTGCCATCCAAATGTTCAAGTCAAAAATATTTAGACGTTTTATATGTAGTTCTTATTTTTTTTTGTCTGCTAAAAATAGTATTGCAAGTTTTGGCTTCTTTTGACATAAAAATTACAATCATGTGCAAAACACTAACAATGAAGCGACTGATCAGAATTCAAGCAGGTTGTCCAATCTGAATGCTTTCGATTCTGCATAATTTTCCTTTTCACTTTTCTCCCCCAAATAAACAAAAGACAAACAAACACACAAAACCCAGAAACCCTTGCCAGATTAGAAACCTCTAGTTCTGAGCCCCGCGGTTCTCCGGCCCCCGGCAGCGCCGGGCTCGGAGCGGGCTGGCTGGCGTCACCGATCTGTGCAGCAGCAGCGTTCTGAAACAGTAGTTAAAGCTCAAGACGGCTATGAACTCTCAGTTCTGTGTTTAGGACTTACTGCTGGCAGAGGCAAACAGGTTTTCTCTGAGTTTTCAGTTGGTTAATGGGCCATAGGCCTTTTTCTACTTGCAGCAAGATATTGCCATAAAAAGAACCTGTTTGAGGGGAATCTAAGCACTAAATGGCTGGGGTGGCACGCACGGGGCCAGTGCCAGAAGGTTCCGGCCACTTAAGGGGGACAGGTCAGGGCCGGGCACACCAGAGTCCCCCCGGAGCACGAGCACGGAGCAGGCTCTGTGGGCCGGCCTGCCCCTGCCCCTCCCGGGCCCAGCCTCTGCATCCCTCCCTCCCGTCCCTAAACACAATCACTGCCAAGGAATCAGTTTTCACAGAGGAGAAACACACCGAGCTCCTGGAGCCCCGGCACCAGGACAGCGGGCCGCGGCCACAGGCTGCACACCCAGAGGCCTCTCCCCTGGTCTCTCGTCCACATTCAGGGGCAAGGTAAGACAATCGAGTCAAATGCAAAGTGAAGCAACCACAGAGAACTCTGGGCGAGACCAGACACAGTGCAGAAAGACAGGATTCAAGTACCGAGGCACGCCGGTCGGGCGGCCCCCAAACTCACAGTATCTGTCACATCTCCCGGGCCCTCCTCCTGGACCTTTGCACTTGTCCCAGCTACCTCCTGCCGCACACCCCGTCCTGCTGGGGAGGGCAGAAGAGGGCGGGCGGCTGCTGCAGCCGCTGGGACGTGGCCCAGCCCTTCTCTCCTCGAAAGGCGCTGATAGGACTTAGCTCTATATAGACTAAGTAGTATATGCGTATTGCTAACAGCCAAGCGTAGGGATAAAGGTGCACACATCTCATAAGTACTGAGTGGCTCGTCTCTCGGTCTACAGGGTCTGGGTGAGTCAGGACCACGCTCACAGGACAGGAATTAGTTGTCTTGTAAACAGAGGGGGGGAGGGTTCAGTTCTCTGAATTGGATTTCCTTGGGAAAAATGATTAAAAGATGCTAAGGCACTCTGGAAGGCCGCTCCGAGCCCAGGCCCGCCGCCGCCCGCCCCGCGGAACATTCAGGACGCGGAGGGAGCGCCCCGGCAGATAGAATCAACAGCCATGCCCGTCTGCAAACGCTCCCCACCCACGTCCACCGCGGGACACATTAGTGCAAAAGGCTCGGCCTGGCCCACCCGGGGCGCAGGGAGAGCGCAGAACCATTCACATTTGATTATTATTAAAGTTTCACCTACAGCTCTTGCCTTCCTTACCCAGAACAACAGAACAGACGGCGATTATAAACAAGTAAAGGACAGAGGTCACGGGGACATTGTGCTGGCCTGAGCGGAGGGGGGGTGTCAGGCCTTCTCCGGAGGCCACCACCTCCTCTGCCCGCTGAACCCCTCCCAGCCTGGCCTCGGGTCGGGGCGTGCCCATGTCTGAGGGAGGAAAGGGGAGAGCGAGCCCTTCTGTCAACAGCCGGATGGGCGGCCAGCTCCCGGAGGTCCCCAGGGGTGGTCAGACAAAAGTGCAAATGCGAGGCAGGGGCAGATGAGCTGATCCGGAGGGGAGACGGTGGGGTCAGGTCAGCCTCACCACCACCAGTGTCCTGCCCCACCCCCTGAGGACCTGGGGGGCGTGGCCCCCTCCCAACTCCAGGAGGGCTTGGTCCTGGTCCCTCCTGGGCTGTGGGCCGGGCTGTGCCCACTCCAACCCCACCTGGGCCTGAGACGGAGCAGGCCTCCTCCCAGAGAGAGGGCCGCCTCTGGACCAGGTGGGGGGTTCACAGCCCCAGCAGGAAGGAGCTGCGGCTCCTGCAGGCCGGGACCCCAGGGCCTGGCCTTCCCTGTGCCTGGGCAGGGAGGGGGGTAGTGGGGCTGATTAGCCCCCAGGTGCCCATCCAGGGCCCCCCGCCCTGGTCTGGAAGCCATCAGAGCCTTCTGGAGGACAGGCATGCATACGCCTGGCTGGAAGGCACCCCTACTCCTACCGCACCCCTACCCGAGGTCTCCCAAGGGCCCGCCATACGGGAGGGTGGCCGTCAGCAGGACGAGGAGCCTGGGTGGGAAAGCGCCCAAGCCTTCGCACAGGCTGTCCCAGGCTGGGACCCGCGGGGGGCCAGGCGCCCCCTCAGCTTTGCAGGTAGGGGGGCCAAGCCACATCTGTCGGGCAAGGGGGCAGGAGGAAGCAGCAGGGGGTGAGGGGTGCCTCTGGCCACACCTGGAGGCTGCCTGGGACTTGGGGGAAGGCAGCCTCTGAACAAATGGACACCAACACTTGGGACAGCCTGTGCCCCTTCCCCAAAGACATCAATTAAATGTCACAGTGAGCATTCCAGCCTCAAAGCAACAACTCCTACACCCCAACCCATGCATTCCCAGCCTTCTGCACCTGTACCCCACCCCAGCTCCACACCCACCCACCCACTGCCTCAGAGGCAGGCACACCCCAAGGCTCAGAGCATGTATGGGGGAGCCCAGCACTGAGGGGGCCTTGCTCCAGCCTCAGCCTGGACTCCAGCTCCCGCCAAACAGGGCCCCACCCCTTCCTCCACTGCACACCCCGATGCACCTCCCTGGGACCCCTGCCCCCAAAGGGAGGTGAGTAGGACCTGGCCCAGGGCTGGGGTGCGAATAGGGTACATGGTAGACAGATGGACCCAACCCTAAGCCATAGTGGGTTGGGGCAGGGACACCCAATCTTCCCCAATTTTTTTGCTCTTTTGGGTTGGAAAGTTTCCAAACCATATATGAAATAGATCTGAGTTAAGACGAAAATGAATAAACAAACACAAACCCAATGTGGCTGAGGGCTGCGTGGGCTGCACCAGGGGCGGTGGCCCCACCCCACAGGATGGTGGACGGCCAGGCAGGTGGCCAGGTGGGAGCCAGTGGGTGCTCGGTCCCAGGTGGACATAGGGTCTGTGGAGCTGCAGGGGTGGGGCAGACCCCACGGGCGTGGGGCAGGAGAACAGACACAGCCAAGAACACTTTGTCCACGTGCAGTGACTAGTAGGACCCACCACCGTGCCATCACCACTGTTCCCTGCACACGGGCTCACACACACTCACACACGCTCACACACTCCCGCACACGCACCCACACCCCACACAGTGGACCCGGCAGGCCTGGCTCCGGAGTCTCAGAAGGGAAAACAAGAGGAGTTTGGCCCCTGGGGGCCCAGCCCTGGCCCGTGGCCCCAGAGGGGTGAGGGGGTCCCATGGGTAAGGAACAAGGGTCCCGAGACACATGCTCCCACAGCAAGGCCCCTGGCTTCGTCCCGGGCGGGCGGAGGGAGCAGGAGGGGTGGGAGGCCGGCGGCGCTGAGTCCCAGGCCAGGCAGCCTCTCGCCCCCTCCCCACGACGGGGAGGGGAAGCTACAACTTGGAGACTAACCTCTCGAATATCAAAAAGGAGCCCCGGGACCTTTCTCACAACTAGGTCGCCAGTGGCCTAATCGTTTACAGTATAACGAATGCATTTGTTTCCTTCATAAATTTTAAATACAAGCAGAATAAAAATCACATTTTTTTCTTAGAGACAAGTAGCACGTCTACGTAGGTTAAGGTTAGGCGTCTTGCGTCGTTACCGGTTACCTAACTACCGTCCCGTTCGG